ACCATTGTCAGGTACTGAGTCACCACTTACACCACCTGTTCCATATGTGATCACCATCACCAGGTTCTGTGTCACCTCCAATATTATTGTTTCCAGATGCAAGAGAGCAGAAGGAGTTGTAATCACAGGCTACTTGGCGGTGAGAGGCCACTGGTCACAGCTTCCTTGCCCAATTATTAAAGGGCCTGTGTTACCTCCAACTTGGGATAGAATTTGGGTCCCATTAACTAAAGTGAAATTAAACACAAAAAAATTAAAACAACTGATAGATAGGGTTTTTATGACAGAAGAGACCCTATTGGTTACTTCTCTCATAAGTGCTTCTCCCTGCCTGTCAGCAGTAATATATACTGTATTGTAATGTGTACTTTTACAGCACCCCTTCTGCGTTGTGATGATGTGACGTCTGTGTGCATGCATGGGGTGACATCATTTCAGCTCAGCAGTTTAAGCAGCCAAACAGACCAAACAAGGAGAATGAGAGATGGTAGAGCCTGTGACCAGTGGGAGGCAGGAGTGCTGGATGCTGGAGGGCATAGTTTGACAGGTATGTCTGCCATAATTTGCTAATATATCAGTACATACTATCACGTTATTGCATTAAACTCCCAGGGGCCCATTTATTTATAACATTTTTTTTTTTTTAAGTAGCAGAGTTTTATTTCACTTTAAAATAAACTGGCTAGTGAGAGGGGTTTGGAGAGACTGAAGGACCTTACACTCCCAGTACTGACCCCTTTAGTTCGGATCCCCCTAGTTTCAGGTTCAAAGATACTATGTCATCCCATTAACAGCTGTGTTGTGCAAGTACTGTATGTTATTGCCTGGGTAATTTGGTCAGTTGGCTGTACCTAAAGGAAGCAGGGATCAGACTGAGGGAAAGTTAAAATACAATTACTAAGACAAATTACATACTTCCAACACCAGTAAACCATAAACAATACAAGAGGCAAAATAAATGTGTTAGTGCAAACCCCAAATAACAACCTACAACTACATACAAAGTGGAGGAAACACAGGATAAGGTCAGGACAGGGACAGGAGACAAGGGGAGCAGGGAGCCACATACTAGGAGTAGGAAGCAGGATACAGGGAGCAGGTCACAGGAGCAGGTACAAGGGTCAGGTACAGGAACAGAAATAAGGTTCAGGATCAGGCAGGGATATGGCTTGCAGGAAAAATACTGAAGCACCAATGTTCAGTCAAGAGCAGGCTTATATACCTCCCAGCAGCCCATGTCAGGTGCAGCCTAATTACTTGGACAGCCCAGCTGCTGGGAGACTCCGGCTAGTGACCTCCGGAACTGCACCCTTTTACTCTGGAAATAACAGTGCCACCAGCAGGTGACCCAAATAGTGACACAAGTCCTGACAGTTGTCTGATAATGTTTATTGTTATTGCTGATCTCTTTTGTTGCCATGTTAGGAGTGCTTCCTAAATAAAGCATCCTTATTTAGCACTGATGTGTCAGACAGTGTGTGCATCTCCTTCAGAGGAAAGAGCTACACATAATCAGCTGTAAGAAAAGGAATAACTCCAATATTAATTAAATATTAAACCAAACAAAACATAAATAAAAACTTGGCTAGGGTTCTAACCAACAACCAAGTAATTAAAACATATAAATAGACAGACAGACAGACAGACAGACAGACAGACAGACAGACAGACAGATAGATAGATAGATAGATAGATAGATAGATAGATAGATAGATAGATAGATAGATAGATAGAGGAGCATGCCAACTAATGAAATGCCAAAATGGAGATTCTAAAATCACCAATCTTTGTTAATACACATAATTCACAAAACTGTACATGTTAAAAATACTTGGCATAGAAATAAGAACAAAAGAACAAAACCACCCCTTCCCCTGTATCCTCCTCCCTACACCTATTGATTCAAGGCTTGATAAATTCATTTGAAAAAATCTTCAATCCAGTCAAGACATTTCATTTCTATATATTTATGAGGTTTAATTACTCAAATGGCGGTTAGAGTCATAGCCAGGTTTTTAATTCTTTTTTTGTTAGGTTTACAGACATAGTACTGGTGACTCCCCATCTTTATGAGTTTTTATACATGTTTTGGGAACCTTGAGAACATTCATACTGTAGCTATTTCTAGTCCAACATTAGCCACATGAAACCTACTGTGCTGGTTACCTGGCCATGGGCAACCATTTTTAGATTTTGGAGTATGTATCATAAAATGAATGTAGCACCCTCCTAGATAGATGCTGGGATAGGTAAAGCTAGTGTGACCCATTGTATTGGAGCTAGTTTGTTTTATCAGGCAAATCCATTCCTCATTTTATATATAATTTTATGGAGTTCTTTCTAGAATGAAGTTAAGGAGAAATTGTGTATGTGGTCCAATGACATTCCGGTGTTAAATCTTAACAAGTATATGTGACCATCCTTGTACAGGAGGTCTCACTATTTGGTAAAGTACAGTGGGGAAAATAATTATTTGATCCCCTGCAGATTTTGTAAGCTTGCCCACTTACAAGAAATGGAGGGTCTATAATTTTTATACTAAGTGTATTTTAAATGATAGAATAGAGAGACACACTATCAACCAAAAATGCAGACAAAACATGATACAAATGTTACAAATTGAGTTGCAGTTTAGTGATTAAAATAAGCATTTGTTCCCCAAGCAAAACATGACTATTTTCCCCACTGTATATCCGCACACACTGCGGTGTCTGGTGGAGGCAATTTTTCTTGTCAGATTTGTGGAAGACTTGGCATGAAGGTTCCTACTTCCCAACTGTACCTATTCATAACATCAAATATTTTAAATTTTGGCTTTATTTCACGGACATTGGTGTTGGATATTTTGGATTGTTTTTGTGTATGGGACTATTTCTGTAATATACACCATCACTTTAATGAGTTTTTTCTATATAATATTGCATGTGTTCATTATGGGTTTTTTTGTTGAATGACACTTTAGTGCTGCACATTTAGTTATATCATTGATTTCAGTGGGCTACCTTAATGCATGGTGTGTCAATTCACATGCATTAACACCCCACACAAATGTGAAAGGGTACTAAAGGTCATAGAATATTTTCAGAGGTCATTATTTACACACTGCTTCATCATTTTTCAAATCAAATAGGTCAATACAAACTACAGATGGATGCAAACCAGATGCTTTTATTGTGACTATGAATATGGATAAGCAAATCTGCGCAGATTCAATTTGTGGAGGTTTCCAACAAAATCTGAGCTTGCTGCAAACTCCATTAAAGTCCAAGATGGATGAATCTTGGTACTAAACTCTGTCCATTTCCAGTGCTAATAGGCAAGCTATAGTAAAAAAGGGCACGGAGAGCTGGGTACTGCCATAGGAGACATTTAAACTTTCTATAGAAATACCATACAGAGGGGAGAGGGTCTTTTAATGTGACTTCAAGGGTGATATATAAATGATTACATTAACTCTTTTGCACAGGTCTTCAGTGTAGCGCTCGACCCAAAGAGGCTGCTGAGGATGGCACAGGTTCCACCACAATAGTACAAAGACTACCATCCACAAGCACAGTTCCATGGACACCAACAACACAGGTTCAGTCTAGGAGATGTCTTTTTAGAATTTATTGCTGAGTAACTTGAAACAGTAGTGTAGGGTGTTCAGGATACTCCAAAATGATTATTAGGAGCACAAACTCCTAGCACAAATCCTGAAAGTAGGAGGCACACATCAAAGTCCCAAAATCAGATTTTACTCACAATTTGCTAGCTGCCATCTAGCTCCCACATGTAGTTTTTCACTAAGGGAGATATACAAACCTTCTCCAGACCAGGACTTCTGAACAGTGTCCTCCAACAAATCCTTTTACAATCTTCTCCAGGTCATCAGCCCAGCTCCTGCTGAGGCCTAGACTGCAAGCCCCAGGTGAATAGAAACCTTCCTAGCAGAGGAAGAACCCTCTAGAAAGGCCTCCCAAACTTGTATCACCTCCTCAGCCACCGTCTGGATGCCCCATTTTAGGGAATGGCTGAGGCATGATAAATATTCATAACTGGATATTTGACCCCCCTGCCCTAAGCAAAACCAGTTAAGAGAAGTCAACCTCCCAACCTAGGAAATCCTCACCTGACAAAACAACAGATTACTGCTCCACTGACTGCAGTGAAGCCAAAAGCTTTATCTTAGCCTAACAGCCTAAACTAGAGGTTTGCGCTACATCCACCCTCCATAAAAATCCAACCCTGTCCTCATGGGCCAGTAAATCCACAAAAAGCTCTTGAGCTCAATAGAAGAGTAACCTGGTACAAAAGGTGGATATGGAAGGGAAAAAATACTGTCAGAGTTACAACAATATATGTGGCATTCAACATAAAATCTTTGAAATTGCAAAACTGATAACATTATGCATTCGAGGCTATCACTAGGCAATCAGCCAAAATGTCCCATGATGTAAATTCACCAATCATGTCATCCAGCAATGCAGATCTAATTTAATCACAATAACAATATCCACCAAGAAAAAAAAATCCCAACCACTGATGTGATCTGTTCCTGTTTGATTCTCTACAAATTGATATAGCTAAAAGTAAACAAAAGAACAGGTTCTCCCAGGTGACATCATTGAACAAATATGGACAGTATCCAAAACTATACTAGAGTACCAAATTTATTCACAAAGTATTCAGAAAATGTTTTAATTCATTAATTAGGTTTCAATTAGGCTGTTAATGACTTCTCCACTTAAAGAAAATGATAAGCATTTTGCATAAAAGCATTTAATCTCTTGTAATCTACATAGAAAAGGATTGTTTATTTTTCATTGCCTAGGTCAGTGATGGCGAACCTATGGCACGCGTGCCAGAGCTGGCACGCAGAGCCATATCAGTGGGCACGCCAGGACGAAGAGGAAGAACGCGCTCTCCTGCGCACCCCCGGTGGCGCGCTCCGGGTGATCTCCGTGATCGCTGTGTCCTACGGACACAGCTGATCACGTGACGTGGTAATAGGCCAATCACAGCGGCCTTTTACCACGTGATCAGCCATGTCCAATGACACGCTGATCACCGGGAAATGCAAATGCCGGTTCTCGGCTGCACTTTCCTCACGCTGTCAGATCGTGAGGAAAGTACTGCCGAAAACCGGCAGTTGTCAGAGCAGGGAATGGCACCGATCATCAGGGTCACTGATCATCAGTGCCCTGATGATCGGTGCCCAGCAGTACCACACACAAGTTCTGCCCACCTGTGCCCAGCAATGCGCCCACCTGTGCCGCCCACCTGTGCCCAGTAGTGCCACCCACCTGTGCCCACCAGTGCCACCCACCAGTGCAGCCCAGCAGTGCTGCCAGTCAGTGCCCATCCATTGTGCCAGTCAGTGCCCAGCAGTGATGTCAGTCAGTGCCACCTATCAGTGCTGTCTATCAGTACCCATTATCAGTGTCGCCTATCAGTGCCACCAATCAGTGCCGCATATCAGTGCCACCTATCTGTGACACCTCATTAGTGCTGCCCATCAGTGCCACCCATCAATGATGCCCAGCAGTGCCCGCCGGTCAGTGCCTCCAGTTGGTTCTATCAGTCAGTGCCGCTTATCAGTGCCCATCATTTCCTGCATATCAGTGCCTCCTCATCAGTGCTCACCAGTGCCGCCTCATCAGTGCTACCTATCTGTGCCGCCTCATCAATGCCCATCAGTGCTGCCTATCAGTGCAGCCTCACCAACGCACATCAAAGAAGAAATATTACCTGTTTGCAAAATTTTAGAATAGAAGCAAAGGAAACCTTTTATGTGTTTAATTTTTTGCTATAACCATATGCAATTGTGATTAAATACCACCAAAAAAAGCTGTATTTGTGTGAAAAAATGATAAAAATTGCATATGATTACAGTGTTGCATGACCGCACAATTGTCATTAAGTGCAAAAGCACTGAAAGCTGAAAATTGTCCTGGGCAGGAAGGGGGTAGAAGTGCCCGGTAGGCAAGTGATTAATTCCAGTGTTGGCACTTTGAAATAAAAAATTTGGTTTTGTGTTGCAGTTTGGGCACTCGGGCTCAAAAAGGTTCGCCATCACTGGCCTAGGTTGTTTATTGTATCACTTCCTTTATTTAATATTTCCCTAAGAATGCTTTTCATTGCTTGATATAAGGCCTGGTGTTTACCTCTATATTCTTCTCAGAAGGGTTTCTCCTGTATTTAGTGTTTGGAGTCTTCTAAAGCAGTGGTACACTAACCACTTTCTTCCCGTGGTCCTGTAACTCACATTTTAACTTTTGCTGCTAACTGACTATTAAAACACATTCCTCACTTTAAAGCGTATGCAGGGGCGGACTGACCATTTGGAAACTCGGGCACTGCCGAGGGCCCGGGGTCAGTAGGGGCTCCATGAGATGCTCCTGGTACCTTTTTCATAGGCTTTTTTGAGTTTGGGCAAGGACACAGGGGCCCCATGATCCCCTATTGCCCGGGGGCCCCATGAGTTGTCAGTCTGCCCCTGGATGGAACCTGCTGATTAGCTCAGGGAATGACAGGAGAGAGCTCTGTGTTGGTAAACACCACAAAACTCTCTTCAGACAGCAGTGACATGCTTTTTTTTCTCCCTGCAAAACAGGGAGTAAAAACCAGCACATTTCTTAGTAAAACAGCACACAGTACACACATTAAATATTGTTAGGCACACATTTAATCCCTTGATCACCGTAGATGTTAACCCCTTCCCAGCCAGTGTCATTAGTACAGTGACAGTGTATATTATTAACACTGATCATTGTACTAGTAGTGTCAATGGAGATGTCAGTGGCAGTTAGTCAGTCCCCCAGCGTCGGTTAGTGTCAGAATGCCCGCGGCACCATTGCAGTCCCACTATAGGTTACTGATCACCACCATTACTATTATTAAATAAATAAATAAATGTTCTGAAATCTATGTCATAGTTTATAGATGGTAGAACTTTCACGCAAACCAATCAATATATGATTATTGGGATTTCTTTATCAAAGACATGTAGCAGAATACATTTTCTCCAAAATTTATGAAGAAATTTGATTTTTAAATTTTTTGTTCTTTGCTATCTTTTATAGCAGGAGGTAGAAAATATTGTGAGTTTTTTTTTTCAAAATAAAAAAGCAAATAATAAAATAAAAAAAAATGGCGATCAAATACCACCTAAAGAAACCTTTATTTGTGCAAATAAAATTATATAAATGTAATTTGCATACAGCATTGCATGACCGCACAATTACCAGTTAAAGTAGCACAGTGCTGAACTTCAAAAAAATGGCCTGGTCATGAAGGGGATAAAATCTTCTGGAGCTCAAGCGATTAATAATATTAATATTATTATTATGCAGGATTTATATAGTGCCAATAGTTTGTGCAGTACTTTATAAAATAAAGGGAGACAATACAGTTACAATACAAAACAGGAGGGTTAGAAGTGCTTGTCTTGAATTGTATTGTAATTTTAATGACTTCTGCATTACTTTTTAAAAAAATTTGGCCCAAAAGGTGGGAGCTCTACTAGCTTGGTATACAATTATATCCAGAAGAAAACAGTTACATATTGCATCTAAAAAGCTAATTCAACCATTATGATATTTTGGATTTTTGTAACATGTAGTTTACACTGCAGCAAGATGAACACAGTAAATGTATTTATAGAAGATATACAGTATAGCTTTACCGATTCTGAATCTCCCAAATGGTAGAGCAGCTGGCGCCGGTATAGTTTAAGCAAACAGTTTACACAAGTACTGCTTGATAGCAATTGAACTTTACTGTGCACACATTCTGTGACATTTACAAGTGCTTTATTTAATGTCAGCAGTGCTTGCCAACAGAAATAACATGACATTTACAGGTTATGACATAGGTGAAGAAATAACAATAAATGCATCACTTACAACTGTGGCAGTATGACTTTAGAAAGAAACAATGTTATAATTTGTTATACCTGTACAGTTGTGGCCAAAATTATTCAACCCCCTGAAATTGAGTGTTTTGGCCAGTTTGACATTGCTTTTGATCATTCAGTCATCTTGCTTACATTTACATTAAAGAGGCACTTGTAGGTCAGACAAATATAACATAACAGTTATAATGAAATAACCACAAATGTCTTTTCTGTGCTCACAGCATTATCAGTTTTATTCAACCCCCAAGTGACATTCAATCTTAGTACTTAGTACAGCATCCTTTTACAGTTATAACAGCTTTTAAAACGTGAAGCATAGCTTGACACAAGTGTCTTGCAGCGATCTACGGGTATCTTCGCCCATTCTTCATGGGCAAAGGCCTCCAGTTCAGTCACATTCTTAGGCTTGCGCACTGCAACTGCTTTCTTTAAGTCCCACCAGAGGTTCTCAATCGGATTTAAGTCTGGTGACTGCGATGGCCACTCCAAAATGTTCCAGCCTTTCCTCTGCAACCATGCTCTAGTGGACTTGGAGGTATGCTTGGGATCATTGTCCTGTTGAAAGGTCCAACGTCTCCAAGCCTCAGGTGTGTGACGGACTGCATCACGTTTCCATCCAATATCTCCTGGTACTGAAGAGAATTCATGGTACCTTGCACACGCTGAAGCTTCCCTGTACCTGCAGAAGCAAAACAGCCCCAAAGCATGATTGACCCTCCACCATGCTTCACAGTAGGCAAGGTGTTCTTTTCATCATAGGCCTTGTTCTTCCTCCTCCAAACATAGCGTTGATCCATGGGCCCAAACAGTTCTAATTTTGTTTCATCAGTCCACAGAACACTATCCCACAACTTTTGTGGTTTGTCCACATGGCTTTTGGCATACTGCAGTCGACTCTTCTTATTCTTTGGAGACAGCAAGGGGGTACGCCTGGGAGTTCTGGCACGGAGGCCTTCATTACGCAGTGTGCGTCTTATTGTCTGGGCTGAAACTTCTGTACCCACATCTGACAAATCTTTTCTCAGTTCCTCAGCAGTCACACGGGGACTTCTCTCCACTCTACGCTTCAGGTAGCGCACAGCAGTCGAAGTCAGCATCTTCTTTCTGCCACGACCAGGTAGCGTTTCAACAGTGCCCTTTGCCTTGAATTTGCGAATGATGCTTCCTAAGGTGTCTCTTGGTATGTTTTAACATCTTTGCAATCTTCTTATAGCCATTGCCCTTCCTGTGAAGAGAAATCACCTCTTCTCTTGTCTTCCTGGACCATTCTCTTGCCTTCACCATGTTTGTAACCACACCAGTAAATGTCTAGAAGGAGCTGAGTATCACAGTCATTTTAAAGCTGCCTAATTGGTGCTTATTATGCTTGATTGCTGCTCGGTGACATCCACAGGTGTTTTCAATACCTGATGGAAAGCACCTGTATGAACCTCTGTTCTTCAGAGTGGTAGTCTTTAAGGGGTTGAATAATTGTGGCAATGAAGAAACCACATAAGAACCATTTACTACTGTATTACATAAACAATTGATGTCATTTTAGTTGCATTTGGGTAGTTACAACGTCCTTGTAGGATTTGATTCTGAATACAATTCCAAATGTACACTATAGTCCCTAAACCCCTTTACAGCATTGGGGGTTGAATAATTTTGGACACAACTGTATGTTCCCTTGTTTAAAGGATAAGTTCACCTTTTTAAAAAATAATAAATGCACATATTTTTGCAGGTAAAAAAATGTGCATTTAATATTTTTTCATGAGCCTGCAGAGTATTGCACCCGTGATCAGCAGATTGCTAGTGCAATGTAAAACTCCTGCAGGACTCTTAGAAAAGCTGTCTGCCGCCTGCACCTCCCACTGTCATGTTTGGGTGAAAGGGGGATCGGGGGTTGAAGGCAGGTGCTCTTTATGTTACACCCTAAATATGGGTGTTAATAATGAAAGAATTTAGAATACGTGATCACCTCCTTTTTAAAGACTTGAAGACTTGGAATTGTTTTATAAATAGATGCTCTTAAGCATAATTACCCTATGGAGTTGTATTGTATCTCCTTTCTCTGCTGTCACTGAGTGGATATTGTAACTGAACCGACCCAGACTGCGCTTACTTCCGTTAGAATTTCACTTCCCCGTCTGAACACCGACAACAGACACCACAGCCGACCATACAAGGCTAGACAATATCAGTGTCAGGAATGGACTCAGCACTGGTGGTGGGACTCATCTGCCGTGTGGGCTGCAGTACCAGAGCTCACCAGTGGGTGCTCTCAGCAGCCAGAAGCTCACACGTGCAATCAGCCAAACCTGGGGCTGATTGCAGAAAGGGTGTATTTAAGGCATGACCTGCTGACCGTCTCCTGTTGAACCCCTGACTTGCCTGAACATCCTTCTGCCTGATCCCCTGTACCGCACTGCCCGTGAGTTACTGAACCCGGCTTGTGACCTTGACCATTCTCTGCCTGCTCCTTTGGTACCTTGCTGCCCGCACGTTGCTGACTTGGCCCGTCTGACCACGCTATGACTCTGCCATCCATCCATCCTGCACGGATCCAGCCGTACCTGCACATACCTCTGGCGGATC